TTGCCCTTTTGATGCACCCCTTTCCCCTCTTTTTTAAACACAAACTCACACACATACATTACACACACACAAACACACACACATACATACCTACACACACACACATGCACACACACACACACACACACACACACACACACACACACACACACAGAAATACACTCACAGGTTCTCGCAATAACTCATACATAAACACAAACACATATGTGCACGAACACTCGCAAACGCATAAACACGGGCACAAATAAGGCAGCTCTCTATCTCTGTCTGTCTGCCTCTCTCTCTCTCTCTCTCTCTCTCTCTCTCTCTCTCTCTCTCGTTCTCTCTCCTCCCCCCTCTACATATCACCTCCCTCCTCTATATCTCTTACATCTTCTATTTCTCTCTTGCCCTCTCTTCCTTTCTTTCTCGCTTGTTCCCATTCTTTAAAAAAAAAACTTTCGCCCTATCCCTTCCGCTCAGCGTAGGCTTGAGTTTACGTGACATCTCTCTAAGCGCGGGCGAGGTGTCCTCCAATTATTCATGACATATTCCTCAACAATCGCTTATAAACTGGGTAATCAATGAGTCTTTGGGAGCTTCTACTGTCTCTTTCAATTAACATAAGGTATGTGAGTGCCCCGGGTCTCTGGTCAAACTTCTCCTCCGTCGTTAATAATGTAGCGTGCAGATGGAAACTTCTTGTCTCCTGGCCCCGCATATTTTGGCTATAATGATCTAAAAAGATATAATTACCAGTGGCTCTTTTGTTTTGCTAAGAGTTTTATAGCACTTGCTACACAATTAGGTCATAAAAGTGCCGAATATTAGATGCGTTACAAGAGAGTGAAAAACAAAAGAAGAAGGCGGAGAGATTAGGACGAAAGATGTTTAACACGAATGATGGAGAAAACCACCGTAGTGCACATGCAACGTATTGACCGGCAACATAACCGGCACTTCATACAGGAATAAAAATACTAACAGTGCAAACAGGTTATTGCATGGTCAAATCGTGTCATATGCAATACCCTTCCCTCACCCCCCCCCCTCTCTCTCTCTCTCTCTCTCTCTCTCTCTCTCTCTCTCTCTCTCTCTCTCTCTCTCTGTCTCCCTTTCTCTCTCTGTCTCCCTTTCTCTCTCTCTCTCTCTTTTCTGTCTCTCTCTCTCTTTTTCTTTCTCTGTCTGTCTGTCTGTTTGTCTGTCTGTCTGTCTGTCTGTCTGTCTGTCTGTCTGTCTGTCTGTCTGTCTGTCTGTCTGTCTGTCTCACTCTTTCTCTAACACTCTCTTTCTCTACATAATCCTCATTTCAATTGTATTGGTCCCAATTGATGTAACATCTGATGCCCTCCATCAATTTATGAATTATCCAAGTCGTATGTTATAATGTGTGGATGTATGGGCCAAAAGCCTTTAAATCAATAACCCCTTCACTCCCCACCTTTCTATCACTCCACCTACATTCAGTGGACGAATGGTTACTGAGTTCATCTTCATAATAAACATGTCAAGCATACGTCAGTGACACGGCATTTATGTGTGATTTCACTGTGGCGTGTCCTTGATCAAGACATGATAAAATACAGAAAAAAAGAAGAAAAACCCCAGGACGCTGCAGCTGCACAGAGGTGACAAGTAGTAGTGGTGCGTTTGTGGTTTTAATCTATTGGGATTTTCAACACGGGGGTGGGGGTGGGGGGTGTTTTTCTCAGAACACTGAGAGCACCATTCACGACCAAATCTAGATGTCTCTATGCCCTCCCCTCCCCTGCCTCCCCCCAAGAAATAACAAAAACAAAACAAGCAAACATAAAAAACCCAAAACAAACAAATAAAGGACCTCTCTTCCAAAGAGTAGCATATCGTACGGCAATACTTTGTATCCCTTTTTGGGGCAAGTAACAACGCGTTTATTTTAATTTTGGGTGGGGGAGGGGTGCGTGTTTTACGGCGCTCGCAACTGCATAAGGTAATATGAGCGTGCGGGACACATTAAACATTTTTAGTTGGTAGGGAATTTAGAATTTTGCCCGGGTGCCGGCCGAAGCTAACTCTTATCGATTTTGGACCACAAAGAGATCTCTAACGTAAGCAACTTGCACATGGGACCTCCAAATTTCTTCTCCCTTATCCGAGAAGGCTAGGTGTAGATCTTACCTACCAGAAGATCAGCGGTGTGCAGCACAGTAAGAATGCGCAAAGGAGTAGCAGTAGAAAGGCTGCAGAAAGAGATAGGAGCCCAGAGGAGCGGGCAAAAGAGGTGAGCGTGGGCAGAAAGTGGAGGCGAAAGTAGTCGAAAAAACACTGTTAAAGAACAGGAAATGAGGTGAAAGGAGACAATTTTGGAGTAAAAAATCTCCCGTAGCTGTCTGGATTCGAACCCGTGACCTATTGAATGCCAGGCAAACACCGTAACCTCTCGACCAGTGGAGCCCCCTTAACAACGTTTGCAATAAGCGCAATTTCACCGATATATATGTTAATGGAGAGATAGATGGCTTTTTGACCTTGTCTGATCCTGAAGAAATGTGGCTGTTAACGTGTCACTGCATCGTAAAATACAACCCCATATGAACTCAAGGGCCTCATTGGTATCTCATGCGTTTTCTTAGCGTAGTTTAGTTTACTTTTAGTAAGAGTTTTACGGCACTTGCAACACAATGAGGTCATAGAAGTGCCGATCTTAGCGCTGACGAATCTGG